AAATAACGACCGTTAGTTGTCGAATCGAATTTAGCGAGCGCGCTCGTTTAATTAAATAGTCTGATCTTCAGACCCTTGTACTGAATGGTCGTACGTTTTGTGCTGCGCAAAGATTCATTCATTTAATTAAGGCTATTCCAAGAAGTGTGTTATTGATGTAGACAAATGCTCATGTTCCCTTTACAGCTCATTTTATTTATGTTATTACAAAAAACAAACAAAAAGTCAGTCAGTCACGCAATACTGTCTGACAGTGAAGTCTAGAGAGTAAACAGGTACCATTGTATAATTTGAAGTCTAGGACACTGAGCACATAACGTTTAAATTTCACAGATAGGACATACATGACATATTCATAATTCCTGCAAAGTTCTACAGAATTTGATGTTGGCCTCAAAAGGAATACACTATCTTTAATGTCACTTCCACGGTGAAAAAGTACAGTCTCCTTATTTTAGCCACCATCACTATCCTTTAGAGTAAAATCTTGGGTGTAAACTTCATTCAATGTAAAGTTGTGAATTTCCTTCTCTCTAACTCTGCTCTTTTGCTGAACTAATGCTGAAATCAACTTATAAACTCTTGGTCTGAAATAAACAGATTAGTCTAATTAAAAGAAGCGGAATTTTTTTTGAAAAAGGTGTCTTTAGTACCGGGAAAAGGGGTGGTTGGAGGCTGAGCATCTAATACATTGTTCATCTTTGTTTTGTTTTTCTGGTTATAATTCAAATACTTTAACAATAAATATTGAGACATTATTATCTCATCGCTAAGGGAGATAGAACTAATCTAGTAATAATATTGGGCTTGTGCATTATCTGATCAAGTATTCCACATTTCGACGTGATGCAAAGGTTACTGTTTTTCATTCTCGGATGTGTGAATCAGAGTCATGAAATTTATTTTTTTATTGTTATATTACCAGGCGATACAAATTGTATCATTAACGAACTTTATTGAAAGGGAAGTGCATGTCATTGGCACATTCGCTCATTTCAAGAATGTCTTTGTTTCTTACCAGACACATGTCTACATAATGGCCTCTACAAGGCAACACCTGCCAGACAGTCTGCAATGTCCAATCTGCAAGGATCTTCTCACCAAGCCGAAGCTTCTACCTTGCAAACACACATTCTGTGAAGGTTGTCTAACCAAACTCCACTCAACTCAAGCACTGGGCGATCGGATAATGTGCGATGTGTGTCAATCTGTAGCACCTCTATCCAACAATAAAGTATCCAACTTTCCAACCAATGAAATTGCCGAGTCCCTTGTAGAAAATTTTAAAGAGAAATCGGACAAGGTTAAGGGTAGGGCATTTTCCAGGAAAAAATAGAACAGGAAACTGTTGTGATACAGAGCCACTCGTCGATCCTTTGAGAAGGAACATTATTGGCATGGTTCAAAATATCATCGGTCAACGAAGGCAAGAGATCGAGAATGTCTACTGGGCGCTCTCAAACGAATAAGACACAGAAAAGCTAGATCAACTGCTTGAAGAGTGCAACATCTACCAGAGATCGCTCTGCAAAGATCTGGAAGGTATCACTCAGTGTAACGATGACTTCCTTGAGAACCTATCAGCCAAGGTTAATGTAGTCACCGGAGAGTCTACTGCTCAACGTTCAGACCAGTCGTTGCCTGAGCGTGTCGCGCGAGTTGGTGAGCTTGAGGCTGTCGTGGAAGGACTGCATCTCTTTCTGAATCTATTTTCAAGACAAAATGTGATCGTCCTATTTAAACTACCCTATAGTCACACTGACAAGACCGACAAAAGACACATAACAGAACAAACGAACAATTTTAACTCCGTGAAAGGCTAAAAATCTGGGATGTAAAGAAGTTGGGTGTGAGCAGAGTCGTCATGGTGGTTTGTAGAAATGTATTAGGTCTTGAAGACATAATCGTACGGTAATATGTTGTGACCCAATGGTTCTAAGTCTCTAGTTAACGAAGCGTGACGTCATACGGGCCGAGTCATCAATGTTGCTGGTTCCAAACAATTTTTTTGCTAAACATTGGTTGGTGATCACAACAGCCCCAAACATTGAACTCGCCCTGCTCCAGCCTGTTGCTTGAATGATTTTGCGGTGAACCTCATGCACAGGTTGTTGTTTAGAACCAGTAACCGGGACGATGAGCGAGTATGACGTTAGTACTTCGGTACTATATTGTCTGAGTGTCGTTATTCTTGTTGGTATTACCGATAATGCTAAAAGAATCGGTTAATCACTTGCATGCATCGCGCAACGCATTTGTGCACGTATGTGACCGCGGGCAATTAGAATACGTCAATAACGTAAAATCTCAAGACACGAATGTACTGTTATGAAGATAACTGAACTGGAATATCTAGCCTTAGTAAGAGACAGATTGCCCGTAAGTGATAAGAGTTTGATATAATGCGTGCATGCACAATATGATTATCGGTAGTATGTCTATCATCCTTTACAAACCAATTATCCCTTCTCAAAACTATATTTCCGGCTGATAGTCTCTCATTCTCTGTGTGTATCTCTCTCTCTCTCTCTCTCATGATTTTAATTCTTTCAGTACTATCACAATACGATTAGAAATGATATTATGATTACATATACCAAAGATATCAATTTTTCTTTTTTTTTAATACCGTTTATAATGTAGATTTTACCTTCCCCACTTTTCAGTTTCAGTTTTGGCTCCTATCAATGAATATATTCCTTTTGCAATTTATTTCATCATTTTCAGTACAGTTCAAATGTCCGAATGTTCGAGCTACTCTAATTATATACTGATTATTACGAATTGTACATCCACATGACTGTACTACACTACAATCTATTCCAATAATGGTGCTTTCATTGTAGTCAGGACAGCATTGGTCTCATTGCTGTATTGGTCTTATTGCTTGTGGGAGAAACTACCCCCCCCCCCCCCCTCACATTCTCTTCAAATGATGGTTGATTTTATTCTACCTACTTGAAAAATATCTTAATCTTCTGTAGCTATCCAGGTTTATGCATATCCATACTTATTATGAATAAGGATGCAAATTATGGTATTTGAAGCTTAGATATTGGCTGGATCATTAAACCTCTTGACTTTCAGGGCGGAGTTCGAAATGATGGTTTTGGATCACAATGAGTATGGATCAATGCACACTCGACACAACTAAATGTTTTCATTCAAATAACAAAAAAATCTGTCAAAAAAAATTCGAAAACTCGAGTTGTTATCAATGGCCTACGCAACGTGTACAGATGGAGGCGTTAACAGAAAGAGAGAGAGAGAGAGAGAGAGAGAGAGAGAGAGAGAGAGACGGGTAGACAAGGAGTGCTCCTTGGGGAAAACCCAGCGCACAATCCCAGCGTTTAACGGAATCGAATTGTACAATAAAGTCGGAAGTTAAATAACTTCTATGAAAATAAATGGTTTTATCATGTGACAACTACAGAACAGGTGTCTACTTTTGCATTAGACTGCTTATCGTTTTGCCCAACCAATGGTTATATTAATATATCTCGCCTTTGGACCCTTTGTGCTTATAGCTAGCTGGAGTTGATTCGAAATGAACAAGTTGCTTAATCATAATTATGCACTCGGTGATTAACGAAGGGAGCGTTTTGAGAACTGAGATAGCTAAGCCAGTGAACTCCACTACATGGTACCTCGAACACTGCGTATGCTGTGAGTACCCAACTTCCTGGTATAAAGGGATATTACGTTGCTGACTATGTGTTAGGCCAATGTTGTACAGGAGCACAAACGTTGACGTACCAATAATATTTATCATAAATGTATTGTTAATGCGTAGGACTATGTAGTGTATGGAGTATATGCAAATACATAGCCTCCGCGTCCCATGGCAGCTTAATGTCACTTCCATGGTGATAGAACTACTGTCTTCTTAATCTTAGCCAACATCACCATCCTTTGATGAATCATTAGATTTATTTATACATTTTAACCAGGTCAAAGAAACTGTATAATTAAGGACTTTTCGATTTGCCCGTCGACAGCTTTGACTGCAACGTGTGACGTTATTTTAAGGCACTGCGCATGCGTCACGTCGTCTCAGTCGGCGATCGAGAATGCGTCAACCTTGATTTTCCTAAATCTAGTACGGTACAAGTATATGCCGCGTTCGCTTAAAATATACAGTTCCTCAGGTAGACAAAGGAAGATATCCCTTCCCTGCTATTATGTAAAAATGTGTAGAACAGGTGTCACATGCATATTCACCTATTCTACACATTTTTACATAATAGCAGTGAAGGGATGTTCTACCACAGCAACAGACCAGTTTCGTAATGTAACCAAATTTAATGCATACGTCTTTGTGAAGTACCTCAATACAAATTATTTCATTCACCTGATAAGAATAATAATATTTCAATAGTCAGAATGCAACTACATATATTAAGTGTTGCTAGGTAGGTCAAGCCATAATGTTTGTCCAACCTGGCAACAACTAATGTATGACGTTCGGATTCTGTCTATTAAAATACTATTATTCTTATCAGGTGAATAAAATAATTTGTATTGAGGCACTTTACAAAGAATTATGCATTACATTTGGTTACATTTCGAAAGTCGCCTATTGTTGAGGGTAGAATGAGGAACTGTATATTTTGTCCTCTTTCTTTGTTCGCCATGTTCACAGTGTTACTTCCTGCATGCATGTATATCGTCGAGTGCAATCTAAAAGATTTCTAATTGTAGTCAACATGGGCAGTTGAGTACGTTGACACGCATGATCAGTCGGCGTTCGTCGTGTTCTCGTCTACTCAATCTAAAAGTCCCTATTAATAAACTTCATTGACAGGGTAGTGTCGTTGGCACATTCTCGATTTTTTTAAAGGATTCCTTTGTTTCTTAATACCAGACACATATCAGCATAATGGCCTCTGCAAGGCAACTTCTGATAGACAGTCTGCAATGTCCAATCTGCAAGGGTCTTCTCACCAAGCCGAAGCTCCTACCTTGCTCGCACACATTCTGTGAAGGTTGTCTAACCAAACTCCACTCAACTCAAGTTCTGGGCGATCGGATAACGTGCGCTGTGTGTAGCTCGGTTGCACCTCTGTCCAAAAATAACGTATCCAACTTTTCAACCAATCAAATTGCCCAGTCCCTTGTAGAAGATTTCAAAGAGAGATCGGTCAAGAAGAGAATGACCGATGTAACGGATGGCGGTTCCTCTGGCCAACGATGCACCGTGTGTGATGCTGATGATCAAGGGCTTGCTACCTTCTACTGTCAGCATTGTTCAGAATTCCTCTGCGACTCTTGTCTTGAGCAGCACAAAAGGTTTAAGAAGTATGTCTTTCACGAGCTTGTTAGTGCTAGAGACATCGCATCAGGGGAAATCAGAAAACAACTTGCATGTACAGAACATCCCAGAGAACTGCAGCAGTTCGTGTGTATCACATGTCAGGCGCGCATCTGTTGTAGGTGTTTGGAAGTGGGTCATATGCCTGACAGGCATGATGTAATCGGAATTGAAGTGTATGAAGAGGGCCACAAAGCAGCAGTTGATCTTTTGCAGGAACAAATAGAACAGAAAACCACTGTGATACAGAGCCACTCGTCCTTTGTGAAGGAGCAGATTGGCATAGTTCTAAAAAGTATCGGTCAACGAAGGCAAGAAATCGAAAATGTCTTTGAGGGAGCTGTCGAACGAATACGACGAAGGAAAGATCAACTGCTTGAAGACTGCAACACCTTTGAGAGAACGCCATGTAAAGATCTTGAAGGAATCATCCAGTGTAACGATGACTTCCTTGAGAACCTATCAGCTAAGGTTTCTGTAGTCACCGACGAGTCTACAGCTCAACGCGTAGACCAGTCGTTGCCCGAGCGTGTTGCACGAGTTGATGAGCTGGAGGCTCTCGTGAAAGGAGACAACCCTGATTCATCTCTTCCTGAATCTATAGCACTCCGTGCAGAATTCCTGACCTTCCAACAAGCTGCAGAGTCCAAGGGTCTTGACCTTGGAACTGTTCAGTTGGCTATTGCAACCAGGAATGCAGACATCAGAGATAATGCACCCCTGTGGAAGCTTGCGTGTGAGCTCTCTCCTTTCCTTGTAAGTTGCGTGGCATATTTCTTTTTTTCTTATTGTATCGGACATTGGTCAAATTGTCCTTACCTCCCCTCTCTGGGATGTGCTTTTTTCAACAGTTCTTATTTTGCCTATGATGACTCTTTTATGGTCTTCACAAAAGACACATCCAGCAAGCATGAGCCACTATTCAACGGAAGAACTGATTGTCTTGAATAATCGGATTCCAAAAAAACAATAAGAAAAGGATTTTCCCTCTATTGATGCATCATTTAAGGTTCTTAGGTACAAAGAGAATACCAGCCACATGAAGAGGGTTCGGGCTGGAAGGACCAAGGGTCGCCCTTATCTTCAGTCTCTGTCACTCTAGCAAGTCATTAAGCCGGCCGATGAATGCAATGTTTAATTTGGATTTCTGACGGCCCGGTGGTGAAATTTTTATTCCAAAACAGGTTTGCAATTTCTTATATATCCGTTCTTCTCAATGGCTGATATGTTCTACGTCATTAGCAGCTTTGATTTTGTATTGCTTTGCCTCACTATTTATAAAGGCAAAAAACTGAATAAACTGTGACTTGAACACACAACTCTAAGATTGTATTACGCTGACCTTAGCGATTGAGCCAACGATGGGTTAATGAAAAGTGATTCTGCATGATTTCTATAACCCTATCTTTCACCCTAACGGTTACGTCATTGCTAATGACGTAACATATCAGCCAATCAGATGACCGGAAATATTAGCATTGGCAAACCTGTTTGGGAAGAAAAAAATTAGCGGCCCGGTGTGTTAGGACAAAAAATTAAATCATGAATGTATATTGCCATTTTGAAAATGCACATAATTTTTTTTTATTTTAGGTGTGTCTTTGATCTCAATCGGGAGAGATATGTATTAAATTGAACATAGAACTATGTGAATGATGAAGTGAAGATCTGGAATGTGTCATTGATGGTAGAGAGTTAATCAATTCAGCTCTGTCAGGTATTATTGTGCTGGCCTTATCTAATATAGTGGTGATAGGAAAGGCAGCCATGCAACTCATGTTGATCTAGTTTTGGGATGAACCGTTTAAATGAATTGACCGTATTTGTAGCTGGGAAGATTACATTTCAGAGTGTTACTTGTAATGATTTGGTTTCGGTGAAATCTGACCGCCCATTGTTACAATCTAGGCCAGGCCTTCTCAACTAGTTAAATAGAAGTGCCAAAACAAAAATGTATTGAGGTTGAAGTGCCAACCTGTTTGTTTGGTGACTGTGTTGCGAGGGAGCGTAGCGACCGAGCCGATACTGGGTGGGGTCCATGGGGCGAAGCCCCCGGAAGCTAGTGGATTTTAGGGCTTATTTAAGGCCCAGATGTGGCATTTTAAAACCTTTTTGTTCCATAAAACATCAATCATATTTTCATATTGATTTGAAATAATTAGTACAATTCCGGGCTAAAATCTACACTGGAAGTTAAGTTAAGTTAATTTATATGTAGTTATTTTGGTGCAATAAACACGGAAAATGTCAAAATCAAGTGAAAATCAAACAAAATGGCTTACTTACATTTTGGGCTCAACTTCGACTACGACTTTTGGATTTGCTGAGTTTTTTAATTTTGAAATATATTTTTTAAATTTTTTTCTTTCTTTAATTTTTAATTTTTAATTTTTATTTATTTTGTATTTATGTTTGGAACAGCCACGCGCCTTTCCGACTGACCGCAAGCGCCACAAGTGGCGCGCGCGCCGCCAGTTGAGAAGGCCTGATCTAGGCAATGATTATAATTCACATTTTTAAAGGTCACATACACATATACCCGTTTATCATTGTAATAAAACAGTTTATTGTTCTTTGCAATGTACCCTGCAGGATTTAGGAGTGGGTAGCGGGAGGGGTTGGCGGGATCGAGAGGGTGACAGGAGGGGGCGGTGAGATTAGGGGGAGATCGATAAGGAAGATATTGCATCTGTATATTACTATGATTGAAAATTGATATTGTATGTAAATAAATATGATTTTTCTTGGCTTTTTGTACCATTGGAAGAAGAAACCATTTTGAAAATGGTCTTGAAATCGGCTATTGGCCAACCGTTTGTCTATACTTTACACATTTACTTACTTTCTTATCATTTGAAATGTGTGTATATGTATGTTTTTATAACTTGTTTGTACTCATGTATTTCGGGATAAAACAGTCAAAAAACAATATTACTTCCATTGCCTCTTGTACAGTAGAAATAAAAGCAAAAGCAAAGTTATTAGCAAAAAAAAATGTACCTTTATTGTTTGTATAATGGTTGTTTTGTGGCTGATGGTATTGAAAGCCTATACGAATCATTGTTTTTATTGATGTATTTACATGCTTTTGAACCACTGTCTATTCAGGAAAACCTACTTGATATGGTATACATTCTTTGTGGCTATTCTCGTAAAGTGCACTAGTCGCTAGTCGTTTGATTTTCTTGCTTCATTTATCTCTGTGGGTTTTTTGCCTGGAAATTAAATAACTGAATAAATGAAATCACCTTTTTCTTTACAATTAGGCTTGTCCTACATGTCGAGTTTTGATTGTTTAACACGTGTTGCTTCCCATTATATTCTTTTGTGATATACAAAAAACTTGTCCCCATCTCATCAAGACCGATCAGAGACATCAATCTGTAAATCCTGTCAGGGTATATTGAGTCAAAAAGAGGTGACTTTGAGAGTAAACATCTTTAAGGTTGATCAGGAGAGGAAGCTCTGAAGAGATGGCAAGTCAATGCTCACGCAAAACTAGCCACTGTCAGACAGGTAGCCTTTCTAGCCAGGTCCTACAACACACATTTCTTCCTATAGGAAACAATTGTGGTGGTGGTGTGTGTGTGTGTGTGTGTGTGTGTGTGTGTGTGTATTTGGATGTTTACAGACGTATATCAATCAGATATGATTATTTACGACCTTTAACGTCACAGTCCGAAAGACGCGACTCAGATTTAAACCGAGGTCGTCTGAGCCAGCTTGTAGGCGGCTGACCAAGTGAACGTGCCGCTAGACCAACTCAAATCTCCCTATTTCTGTAGAAGATGAGTTGCCTGATGCTGAAATAAATTTACAAAATACATGTACAAATTGTTAGAAATAACTAAATATACATTATCGGAGAATCGCGTTGAAAAGAGCCATACTTAAGCTTGTCATCTTGCACTCATCAAAGTAAAACGCAACAATGAAACAGAAAGCCGAACTCGAACAATATAAACGGAAACTAAATATACATTATTGCCTCTCACTCTTCCTGTTAGGGGAATGGAAACAAATTTGACATTTGAGCTTTTAAAACTGCTGGCTTGCTGGGATATGAATATAGACGAGACTCAATACCTAATTATATTTAGTTTGTGGGAGAAACTATTTTTCACCATTCTCAAATAATGGATGATTTTATTCTACCGACTTGTCAAATATCATAATCTTCGGAAGGTAGTATACCTAATATAGGATTATGCATGCCCATGGCATTATGAATATAGATGCGCATTATGCTATTTGTAGCTTATATATATAGGCTAATACAATACAAATATTTGGCTTTCAGGGCAAAGTCGAAATAACGATTTTGGATCACAATGAGTACGGATTCATTCACAATCGACACGATTACTTTATCAATTTAATAAAGAAAAATAATCTGCCAACAGCCCAATAACTTTGAAAACTCGAGTCGTTACCAATGACCTACGCAACGTGTAGAGATGGAGACGTTAACTTATAGAGAGAGAGAGGGAGAGAGAGAGGGGGAGAGAGAGAGAGAGAAGGAGAGAGAGAGAGAGAAGGAGAGAGAGAGAGAGAAGGAGAGAGAGAGAGAGAGAGAGAACCGGAGACACAATGGCCCGAATTCACAAAGGAGGGCCGTTGAGAGTTCGTGCATGGGGAAAACCACAATCCAAGCGTCGAAATTAATTGGTACAATAAAGTCGGAAGTTCAATAACTTACAGGTATAACTTCATAATAATGAATTGTATTATCATGTGACAACTACAGAACTAGTGTCTACTTTTACATCAGACTGTTTATCGTTTCATCTCGCCTTAGTACCCTTTGTGCCTATAGCTAGCTGGCGTCAAGTTAATTAGAATTGAACAAGTTGCTTGATCATAATTATGCACACGGTGATAACGAGGGGAGCTTTTTGAGAACTGAGATAAAATATAGCTAAACCGTAAAACATGCTGTGAGTATAATGGGATATATTGGTTCTGACTTCCTGCTAAATGTTAGGTGCCATTTTAGGCCAATGTTGTACGGGAAAACATATGTGTCGTACCAACAATATATATCATATGTATTGTTAATGCGTGGGACTATATTATAGAGCAGGGACTATATGCAAATACATAGTCTCTTTGTCTTATGGCAGCTTAATGTCCCTTCCATAATGGTATAAGTACGGTCTTCTTAATCTTAGCTACCATCACCATCTTTTAGAGTAAAATATCGGATGTAAACTTTAGTGTAAACATCATCCAGTGTGTGTGTTCTTCTCTCAAACTCGGCTCTTTTGCTGAAATTCATGCAGAAATCAACTTAAAATTTCTTACTCACAAATGAATAGCTTAGTCTAATGAAAAGGAGACAGAAATAAGATGATGTCTTAAGTACCTGGAAATGGGGGTGGGGGGGGGGGGGGGCTGAAGGCTGAGCATGTTATAGATTGTTCATCTGTATATTCAATTTTCTGATTATCATTTAAATATGTTAACAATAAATATTGATGCATTATTAACGCTGAAGAAGATTGAAATAATCTAGTAAAAATGTTAGACTTATCTGATCAAGTATTCCACATTTCGACGTAATGCAGAGATTACTGTTTTTCATTCACGGTTGGGTGAATCAGAGTCGTTAGATTTATTAATTTATTATTATATTACGAGGCCATAACAATTGTATCAAAAATGTTATTGAAAGGGAAGTGTCGTTGACACATTCGCTCATTTCAAGAATTTCTTTGTTTCTTACCAGACATATGTCAGCATAATGGCCTTAGCAAGGAAACATCTGACAGACAACCTGATATGTCCAATCTGCATGGATCTCCTCACCAAGCCGAAGCTTCTACCTTGCTCACACACATTCTGTGAAGGTTGTCTAACGCAACTCCACTCATCTCAAGCTCTGGGTAATCAGATAAAGTGCGTTGTGTGTCTCTTTGTTGCTCCTTTGTCCAACAATAACGTATCCAGCTTTCCAACCAATCAAATTGCCCAGTCCCTTGCAGAAGATTTCAAAACGAGATCGGACAAGAGGAGAGCGACCAATACAGCGGGTGGCGCTTCCTCTGATCAACTTTGTACCGTGTGTGATGATGTTGATCAAGGACTTGCTACCTTCTACTGTCAGCATTGTGCAGAATTCCTCTGCGACTCTTGTCTTGAGCAGCACAAAAGGTTTAAGAAATATGTCGTCCACGAGCTCGTTAGTGCTAGAGACATCGC